GAAAGTAATTTATAACTTTTTATTTAAAGAAATTTCAAATTTTTTTTATAACTATATTATATAAGTTTTTTTTTACCTACTTATTTTTCCAACTGGTTAAGGTTTGAATTTCAAAAAAAATGTATTTATTTAAATTAATTTTTTAAACTATATAAAACTAAAATTAAATGTATATCAACGGCTGCATAAATTAAATAAACACTTGTATTCCACCGGACGTCGGACGCAGGGATTGCAGTGTTTCGAAACACAACGAAAATTACAAAAAATTTAAACACATTACAAATTTCATAAACATAAATTATTAAATACAATCAATTAAAATAATATTAAACAACTAATTACAATACAATCAACTATATACATATTATATATACGACGTTTCCGGTAACCTATAGGCACGTTAAACGAAACAAACAAAAACCCATGTCACCCTTCAAAATCGTAATATCCATTTGCAATATATTACATCTTACTCATTATATTATAATCTGAACCCTTCAATATTCTAATATTATATCTACGGTCATCATAAACCTTACACATGCAGCACGGATGGACCACTTCTCGAACTTCCCTATCAGAGACTTCACCGTTAAATATAATGGTGGAAGTGATACCCAATAATGGAGGCCCGAAACTTAAACTTTGTTTTAAAAAATTAATGAATAAACTTAACGTAGTTGATGTGTATAAATGCGAAGAAGAACAAGAAGAACAAGAAGATTCTTCCACCATCAATAGTTGAAATCAAATTTGAGCAGAGCAACAAGATTGTCTCAATAATGTTAATGTTAAGGTTAAGGTATGGTCTCTGTGTTCCTTGTTCCATTCGAAACGTTCTTCTTTGGCGTCACTCTCATTCCCAGTCTCAGGTTGCGAACCCCATTGGCGCTGTCATCTTATTCAACTGCATGCTCCACGAGCGTCCCACCCCACCCATCAACCTATTCAACAACACTTTATCATCCCTCCTCAAGATCAACCACTTCCCCACCGCAATTTCCCTCTTCAAACGTTTGCAACTCACCCCAGTCACCCCCGACATCGTCACTTTCAACATCATCGTCAACTGTTTCATCCAACTCCGACAAACAACCTTTGCCTTTTCCGTGTTCGCCAAGATTCTCAAAGTGGGTCACCGCCCCAATACCGTAACCCTAGCGACCCTTATCGAAGGCATGTGTCTCAATGGCCAGGTTATCCAAGCAATGCACTTTCATGACAAGGTCGTAGCTCAAGGGTTGCGCTTGGAGCAGGTTAGTTACAGAAGCTTGATCTATGTGTTGTGTAGAATAGGAGAAACAAGGAATGCTTTGCAGTTGCTGAGGCGGATCCAAGGTGGATTAGTCGATGTGGTGATGTACAATTCAATCATTCATGGCCTATGCAAAGATAAACTTGTTACTCAAGCTAATCATTTATATTTTGAGATGCTTGGCAAGGGAATTTCGCCTAGTTTGATCACCTACACTAATTTAATACACGGTTTCTGCGTTTCGAGGCGATTGAAGGAAGCAACTCATTTGTTGGCTAAAATGGTGTCGGAAAACATCAACCCGGATGTGTGCACCTTCAATGTATTGATTGATGGGTTGTGCAAGGAAGGAAAGGTTAGAGAAGTTAAAGCTCTGTTGGCTGTGATGGTGAAAGCGGGTGTGAGACCTGATGTTGTTACTTTTAATTCTTTGATGTGCGGGTATTGCTTAGTTTATAAACTGAGTGCTGCCAAAGTTATATTCAACACTATGGCCCGTAAGGGAGTGAGTCCCGATGTACATAGCTATAATATCATGATTAGTGGATTATGTAAGGTTAAAATGGTAGATGAAGCCATGATTCTCTTTAAGGAAATGCATTGCAAAAATATGGTTCCCACTGTAATAACTTATAGAACACTTATTTATGGTTTGTGCAGATCAGGGAGGATGTCTTGTGTTTGGGAGCTTGTTGAGGAGATGCATGATAGATGTCAACCTGTTAGTATATTCACGTACAATTCTTTATTCGATGGTTTATGCAAAAACCATAATCTAGATAGGGCAATTGCATTATTGAAGAAAATTAAAGAACAGAGAAGTCAACTGGATGTGTATTCATACACACTAATCATTGATAGCCTGTGCAAGGATGGAAGACTTGCGAATGCACGAGAGGTTTTTCAGTATCTTTTGATTAAAGGCTATCATCTAGATGTTTCGACATATATTGTGATGATCAATGGATTTTGTAGAAAGGGCTTTTTTGGTGAAGCTTTAGCCTTTCTGTCAAAAATGGAAGATGCTGGTTGCATTCCCAATGTTGTAACGTATGAGATAATTATCCGTGCTCTCTTAGAAAATGATGAGAATGACAAGGCAGAGAAACTTCTCCGTGAAATGATTGCTAGAAGGCTATTCCAAGAGCAAAACTAGGTAAGACGCTTGCTAGTTATGCGTGAAGTTATTCTACATTTTGATGACGACCATTCGCAGCCAACATTAGTACAGCAGAAGATCATCCACCAAAAGCTGCACTTCAAAATGCTATTATTTCCTCAAACACCAAAGAATACATGCAGTTTATCATTAGCCTTCCTACAAAGGAACTTCATGTTTACATCACTTCTTACTTCACAGACGTGATGGAAAATGCAGTTGGCAAAAGACCCATCTAAATGTACATAGACAAGAAGCCCTTTTCAAGTTCCATGGTTCCTCCTTTTGGAAGCATGAAAGAAATATACATCACCTATATGACAGCTTCAGCAAACACATTGTTTACTCTGCAGGCTTTAGACATACATATCTCTGTTTGTTACCATGAGTTCTCTTTTTTTATTAACTCTGTATACACTTTGGCCTTCGTGTTTTCTTTTGTACATGTAGTGGAAAGTTTGTTACAACTAAAGTTGGCATTTGGAGTGCTTGTAGAGACCCTTGTCTACCATATCAGTATAACTGGGATTGGATACAATAAACATTGGCTTCAACTATTTTACATTGAATAAGTTGTGTCAACTATTTTACGTATAATTTGAAATATTAATTGTATTGTTGTTGAGTGTCTTTTATTCATGAATTATACTCAACTTTTGGTACTCTTTTTGGATAAATTGTAAATATATATATAATAATTTTAACTCTAATTAGGAAGAATTAAGTTTATATTAAAAGATACAAGAGTAGTATAAAATTAATGATGATTTCCCTCATTTTTTGTAGAAAATTTAGGAAGACAAAATTCCACAGCCATGGCTGTGGTTTTGGAGCTATAGCTGTGAAAATCTGGGAAGAAATCAGAAGGTCAGAAAATTGCAGCTATAGCTGTGAAAATCTGGAATGCAAATTTAAGGGTCCAGAAACTTGAAGCGAAAGTTGTGGGCTCACAGCTAGAGCCATGGAACACTAAAGATTGAGAGAGAGCACCAGAGAGTCACAGTTATAGCTGTGAATTTCACAGTTAAAGCGTTGGAGGTTCCTTAAACTTGAAAGAGTTTTCACAGCTATGGATGTGAAACCACAGCTGCAGCTGTGAAGCTTACTTCACCTTGAAGGAGTTCCCACAGCCATAGTTGTGAATCTACAGCTGCAGCAGTGAGCTTAAAAATTACAATTCCTCCCCTGTTTTAAAGTTGATATAAAAGGGAAACGAGGGGGATTTTTGGTAGGAGGAAAACAGAGAGAAAAACAAGAGCTGGGAGCACAGGAGGAAGAAAGAACAGAGTGGGAATGAAGATTTGGAGGCTGGATCACTTGGGAACGGAGATCAACTCCTTTTCTTCATCTCTTCCTTTGTAATTTCTTCTTCCACTTCTTTGATCTTGTAAATGGCCATGAGGGGCTAAATCTTTGAGGATTGGTCTGGATGTAACTACTAACTTTTCTTCTTCTTAAATATATATATGCATTTCATTTTTATTACTTGTGTTTGATTTTTCTCTTAATACTTATATCGGCTTGATCACCTGTTGTATGATTTTTGGTTTTTGAATCCGGTTAGAAAACGTTTTTAAAAACCCGAACTGAACCTTGCACCTAAACATCTCTTGTTCTAGGAATAGACTTGATTTGTTTAGTCGCCTTGTTCAAGTCATTGTTCTTAATGCAAAGTGTTAATTTCAAAACATAGAGGAATCTTGTTTTAGATTAATCACTTTAGGATTCAACTTTGAAGAATCTTGTTGAATTACTAAATGAACGTAGAAGTCATGAAATTGAAATCATATTTATTTTAAGAAGATTTAAGAGTTAGCAAGTACTCCTGAGTCCAATCATCGCTTCCTATAACTGTTCTTATAAATTTTACATTATCGTTTTATTTTATTTCACATTAATTCACTTTCAATCATATCAATGTCTTTTATTGGATTATTAGAGTAAGAATTACTAAATTCTTAAATCCCTGAGGACGATACTTAAATACTACATCGAAACTTGGTCCGCTTGTCGAGTGGAGAGTTCACAAAAACCTCACCAATTGTTGTTCAATCTTACAAGTACTATCATGCTTTCACAAAATATTCCACTAATAGGACCAGTTGACCACCTGATAAAGAGCTAATAGTGCTCTGAAAGTTAAAACTGGAGTGAAAATTTGACATTAGTACCAAATGAAAAAAAAAAAAAAAAAAGCAGCCCCTTTTATAGCTCCGAAAGAAAGATTTTGTGAGCAAATCAGCAAGGTGAGCTTGAGTGATCAAGAACATCTCAAGACCACAAAATCATATTCCACCAATAATCATAATATTATTCTACTCGGTAACTTAGTACCACTGCAAAATTTTGGAGCTAATAGAATTACCTGACAATATTGTCGGCACTTTTACTGTATAGGCTGTTAATATTACAACTGGAATCCCTTCATTATAGGCGTCATCAATAAATCATCAATAAATCTGTCAATGGAGACATTACTATATGTTAAGGAATATAAACAAATTTAAGTTCCATAGTCATCCAAGTTCCTAAATTTATGAAATATCCTGTAACATTTGAACCTTTAAGAGAACTAATATAAGCAATCAGAGTACAGTCCAATATTAAGAGGCAATGTAAACAAGGAGAAACATTTTAAAATGGGACTTCTGTGAACGGAAATCTTTCCAAAAATTAATAGAAGACCAACTACAATCAAGAGAAAAAAAGAAGTAAACATGAAATACACATCTAAGGACTTGCACCCAAAAACAAATAATATATATATATATATATATATATATATATATATATGTGTGTGTGTGTGTGTCCTTGTCAAGACAAGGACCGATAGCTAGATGGGACATTCAGTCCAAATAATGACTCTATGCTACCCTCATAGAGAATATGTTTGAAAGAGGTTGTCCATTTCAAATGCATAACATTTTGATCAAGAGAAATCAAATTAGAATAAAGATGAAATTGATTCACTTCATTCTGGATTAGCTGCAAAGCAAGAGTGAAGCCTGACTCAAAAATAATGTGTAGAAAGCCATCATCTCATGCCTTGCGGAGTCCATGAAAAATAGCAAACAACTCTGACTAGATGTAACTCCACAAGCACCAGAAAACGATGAAATCCAATTTCTTGTGTGATCTCAAACGATTGCACCATAAGCTGAGTCACCTGGATATCAAAGCAGAGCTGTTTATCAAGTTGCACAAATAGCTTTAACTTATTGTCTCAGTATATCAAGTTTGATGCAAACCAAAATTATTTTTAATTAGTAGGTACCAAATTAAATTCTAGGGGAAAGCACCTAGCCCAAAATTAGGCAAATGTTATCTACACCTCTCCTTTTAATAGATTTGCCTCTTTTCTCATTTTTTTTCTAAAATTTTCTTAAATACCCTTTAGTTTATTACTCTTTTAAAATAAATTTTATTTCTAAAATCTATTTTCTTTATTCAATCTTCTTCTTTATTACTTTTTTTATTTATTTATAGGACACATAACAAATGAGTAATGAGGATTAAATTTATGTTCTCATTTTTAATTATTCCAATCTCATTCCTTCAACCACTAGGCTAATCCTAGTAGTTTTTTTTCTTTATTACTTTTATTTTTTCTCTCTCTAACAATCAAAATATTCATTGACTTGTCTTTATTATTTTTCTAAACACTATTTTTACACTCTTAATTTTAATATTTTTTAAGCTAAATGTTTCGCTCTATCTTCAATATTGCATACATTGGATATAAGGTTGTGAACTTGATGAAGATGTCATTTCCAAACGTGTGACATGTTGATTTTACAATAAATTATTGATTAGAAACAATTTATTATTACCATTTTGAAATTATGCTTTTTGATTTTTAAAATATACTTTTGGAAAATATTTTTTGATAAGGTAAGAATATTTCTCTTCCAAAACGTTCTTCCTGAAAGTATATTTCTGTCTTTTAGAAGTACTTTTTAGAAATATATTTTTTTGTTTTGAAATACTTTTAGAAGTATATTTTTTCTTTTCAAAGTTTGGGAGTACTAGAACATAGTACTTTTTGGAGAGAAAAAAATCTTGAAATTATTTTCTAAAAGGAAAAAAAAACTTCTAAAAAGTACATTCTAAAAATATTTTCTGAAAAAAAATTATGAAATAAATAAAGAAAAAAAGTATGAGAGATATAATATTAATTAACGAGGGTGTATTTAAAAAAAATAACTCAAAATTATCCTTATGTATTCATGGGCCTAGAATAACTTTCAATTAGTAAAATACTCCCTGTTTAATAGTGTGTTTGCTATTGACGAGAAGAAAAAATTGAAAAACCAATAGTGTCAAAATTACATCTATGGCAACAAAAACCATTAGAATGACTAAGTGACTCAGACTTAAAATGTGAAAGAATCTAGGTATGATAACTCAATAGGAAAATTCAGGTTTAAAGAGACTGCTCTCCTTTAACTAATGTACAGCTTGTTCTCCTAACTGCACCAAAAAATATAGTTCTTTTAAAAGATAGCTCCCCATAAATAAAACACATAGATGAGACATGCAATTATATTAAAAGAATATGAAATAACTCACTGTTCAAGGCCAGGTCGTAAAGGTAGACTTTTTGACATCACAAACTCTTAGTTCTAATATATGATAAATAGTTGAATAGGATTCTCCACAAATTATCATCACATTCTCAATATTAGTAAACTGAAAAACCATTTGGGGAAAGATTTTTAGCTTACTAGGCTATAGAATCTAATTCCCGAGGACTTAAGTATCAAAGTGGGGTGTTTTGCCAAACCATTAGATATCCCCCTTCCAATTGGAATTCTTTTCCAATCTATACTTTCTTTTTTACTTTTGTTTTTGTAGTAGAAGAACTGTCGATAAATCATTCTCATAAATCTAAAAGCAATGAAAAAGCACAATAAATCCTCTGGATCAGATAATTCTCACTTAAAGCATCCATGGACTCAACCACACAAACACTAGCTAAAGCAATATTATTCAGAGAACAACCTAGAGTATGTTTTGGAATTAATTAATTATATTGGGGAAATATTTTTTTTTTTGTCAAAAGTTCACAACTCATGATCAAAAGTTTTTTGGTCCCAAAATAAGCTATCTAAATTGGCTATTAGACGGCAAACATTTCTTAGATATAAGACATTGAGCAAGGAGCCAAAATGAAACTTTACAAGTTTTTGAAGAGATTAAGAGACTTATAAATCTGTCACAATTGTCAAACTGCATCGGTGGATTACATAAATCATACTTAGAGCTATATGTACATTAAATAATTAATTACAATAAGATATTTACAAGAAATTAAATAAGAATAAAACATTTCCTAGAACACTGAGGCTTCAATTTTACTTGAAAGCAGTTACTAATTCAATACTATGTAAATTCCAATACAAGCACCCACAAGAATCCAAAATCCGAGCCCTTCAATCTGTTGTTCTTAAAATAAAAAGTATAGTATATCGCATCATCATTTTATAAGAAAAATTGAGCTTCTTATCATAGCCTTTTCGTAGCTTAAGTATTAACTAGTTCAC